TGTTAATGTATTTGCTCTCTATCTTTTCATGTTGAGTTTTTCTTGGTATAGAGGGGGACTCTTACGGTAGCGTTGGATATCCCCTCCATTACGACCTCAACTTAGAGAGCTTTTTCTAAGCTTGGAGTTGATCTCATAGAAAACCAGTGGCATCATCGTTTTTCTCACGCAAGTTTACATAAGCATTAGTGCTTCAATCGTAAATTCCTGACACATGCAAGAACTCCATTATACTGATTAGTTGGCAACTATGGAGGTATTCCGACTTGTCAAACTTCCACTCAGAAGTCGTTTAGCTTCGCGCCCACGCTTTCGAAGTTCTTGTCGTAAATCTCGTTTTACAAGAGCGCTGCGCTTAGGCACGAAGATAAGGCGCTTCCATTGGCGGGGTGTGAGAAATTTGCAGTCGCGAAATTCACAGCAAATTATTTGGCAACTGTGCTGGCGAGTGAGGTGTTCTCTGCACTTTGACGTCAAAGCCAGCGGGATAGCAACAAAGCGCCGATGTTTGGACAGACGTTTCAGCTGTATTTTATTGGTTTGTTTGTTTACTGTTTGTGGCTCTGGTAGATGTCATATTCGTTAATTAAATCATATAAGACGTAGTGTTTTCCCCCTGAGATGTACGTCGGGAAAGGAACTTTATTGCTTGATAGAATTCCTGCATCGTTGGTAGGATCGAAATATAAGCCCGGTCGGCGAGCTCAAAGATGCCACATTAACTTGGATTGCATGTTGCAATAAGGAACCACTATCTCGGGCTCTCCCATGAAAGCACATATTTGCATAGGAAAACCAATGGCATGTATGTTGTTTCTAAAGTGGGCCTGAAATAGTGGTTTCTTATTGCAAGATTTAATCCACTTATAAGCCCTTTCTGCAACGCTCTTTTCACATGCCCGCGGATCATATAGTGCAGCGTATTTTGGCGCTTAGCTCCATTTAATTTAATGTAAAATTCCACTTTTCCATTTCCACAGGGGGAATCACGTCTACTTTTAAATGGTGTCTTGTGCAGTGTTCTAGAGCACAACCCATATCGACGGTGAAACTACCAAACCACGTATCTCGGTTTGCGACGTCGCAGACTTCCTGTCATACTTTATTTTTTAAATGAAAAGCTACTTAACGTCCAGTCTTGAAAATTTCCGTGATTTTTCCTCTTCGTGCGGAGAAAATTCTGTGAAAATTTCAAGGAATGATATTGATTTGGTCTACTTCAAAAAAATAAAATGTGAGCGGAGATTTTTAAACACCGCAAACGAGATACGTGGTTNACATGCAAGAGTTCTATTTTGCTGAGTTGGCAACTATGGTGGTATTTCGACTTGTCAAACTTCCACTCAGAAGTCGTTTAGCGATGTGCCCACGCTTTCGAAGTTCTTGTCGTAAATCTCGTTTTACAAGAGCGCTGCGCTTAGGCACGAAGATAAGGCGCCTCCATTGGCGGGGTGTGAGAAATTTGCAGTCGCGAAATTCGCAGCAAATTATTTGGCAACTGTGCTGGCGAGTGAGGTGTTCTCTGCACTTTGACGTCAAAGCCAGCGGGATAGCAACAAAGCGCCGATGTTTGGACAGACGTTTCAGCTGTATTTTATTGGTTTGTTTGTTTACTGTTTGTGGCTCTGGTAGATGTCATATTCGTTAATTAAATCATATAAGACGTAGTGTTTTCCGCCGGAGATGTACGCGGGGAGAGGAACTTTATTGCTTGATAGAATTCCTGCATCGTCGATAGGATCGAAATATAAGGCCGGTCGGCGAGCTCAAAGATGCCACATTAACTTGGATTGCATGTCGAAATAAGGAACCACTATCTCGGGCTCTCCCATAAAATCACATATCTGCTTAGGTAAACCAATGGCACGTGTGTTGTTTCTAAAATGGGCCTGAAATAGTGGTTTCTTATTGCAAGATTTAATCCACTTATAAGCCCTTTCTGCAACGCTCTTTTCACATGCCCGCGGCTCATAAAGTGCAGCGTATTTTGGGGCTTAGGTCCATTTAATTTAATGTAAAATTCCACTTTTCCATTTCCACAAGGGAAATCACGTCTACTTTTAAAGTGTGTCTTGTGCAGTTTTCTAGAGCACAACCCATATCTTCTACCCGTCACTAGTTCCTTTTAGCATAAATGCGTCTAATTGGATTACATTCTTCAATAAGGAACCACCAGCTCTGGCTATTCCATAAAAGCACTTTTTTGCTTAGGAAAACCAATAGCATATATGTTGTTTCTAAAATAAGCCCGAAATAATGGTTCCTTATTGCAATATGTAGTTCAATTGTCATTCGGAGCGAGTAAATTTTAATTTTCATGAAATCAGCCAAACGATGCACGACCACTCAATAAAAGAGGAATCATTCATGAGCTATTTGGACGGATTTCTATCAAACGGAACTATGTGCATTAAGGCCTGAGCCCTGAGACCCATAAGAATATGTGCATAACAGGGCTCACATCATAATGCACATAGTTCTGTTTGATAGAAATACGTCCGATTGATACGTCTGTTTCCCTGCAAAACTTACGAAGGCTCGCGTGCAGTTTTTATGACAGACCGCAGAAAATATTCGATGCTCGTGTCGCGAGAGGAGAATGTAATCAAACATTCAAAGGGTTAATAGCTAATTAGAGCTCTGCGAGCCAATCCAATGATGCGAGTGAAACTTTTTAGTCGAGGCGAGGTAACAACAGTGTAATTGATTACGTGTCTCTATCGGAACTACTAGCAGATTTGCCATCACGATGAGCACAGTGCGTTGCCAAATGTGTGGCTTAATTTAGATTTAAATTCTTGAAATGAATTTGGAGAGAATCTCGGAGTTTTCCGGTCAACGCGGCAACCGATGTCTCGTCGCGAAACAATATCGGATCATTTACTGTCGGTGCCGTGACTCGATGACATTTGGACGTATTTCTGCCAAACGGAACTATGTGCATTAAGACATGAGCCCTGAGACCCATAAGCATATATGCATAACAGGGCTCACGTCATAATACCCATAGTTCCGTTTGACAGAAATACGTCCATTTTATGATGAGAGAGAGCGTGTAACCTCACCATAAAAGTTTTGCGAATAAAGGCTTGCGGCGTCTTTGTACACGAAATTCGAAGGACGCGAGACGCCTTTGTATCACTTAATATCATTTTAATGCACTTTATTGCTCCTTAGATTATATCACCGCAAGCGCACTCACGGAAACTTCAGAGCATAGTTTTCGTCGTTTCTCAGGCAAAAACCGCGTAGCTCCACCCCGAGGTTGTGAAATTCACTCGAAAAGCTCGATATTTTAAGAGAATGTGCTGTTTAATATGTGACCGGACCAGATCTGTGAAAAAAGACCCTGGTGGGGTTAACCCCACCAGGAGAAAAACCTCCTTAACTTTTCGAGACACTAAAATCACGTTTTCCAACAACTGAAAAATGTTTGTCTTGAAATTTCGGGACTAATATCTCTATATCAATTTTTGAGATTTTCGATTCAGCATTGAGCCAAAATGTCCAGATTTTCTTTCTCTCCGAACTTGCAAAAAAATAAAGAAACTTCCTTCCCGGAGGATAGGTTCCCTTTTCACAGATCCAGTCACATATCAGTTTACGATTCCTAATTTTGATATGTAATTAGAAGAATTAGAGAAAATTTCTGTTAAATGCCCAACAGTATTTCCTAATAGGTAATGGTGTAATGGGTCAGTTTCGAAGTTCATAGAATTGTATTTTGATTAATTTAGATTAAAGATCGTCGAAAATAGCGAGAAGTATCTGAGCACCAAGTTTTCACTACTAATTCTTCAAAAACCACAGCTAATGACGTCATCCACCGCGGTGGTGCATAACGTGATTTCCTCCACCTTGCCTTCATAGCCCTGCGTCCACTCGTGAAAATGGCGTCAAAATGGAAGCTCAAAGTGAATCGATGGATACGATATGTTCGCGATTGTTGATCAAAAAAGAGTCGCGCCGCCCTATTTTGAGATGCAACACTCATCAATCGCATCAAGTCCCGACTTTGAGCCACTTATCGTTGGAATTGATACTTTGAGCTTCCATTTTGACGCCATTTGGACGAGTGGAGACGGCGCTCATCCGTGTTTTAAGCAGAGCGACCAAATTTTTACATCATTCATCGATTAATTCAAGGAGGAAGAAATCGTGGTATATGCTACCGCGGAGGATGACGCAATACGCCAAGTTTCTTCCAAGGCAATATTTCTGTTAATATTGTATGTAGCTCTGTACATACTGGGCGTTTGGACGCTCACCCACATTTGCGAGAGGAAATTTTGCAATGATGAACTACAATTACATTCGTTCGTCTGGGTGACGACACTTCATGTTAAATGAGGTTTGAGTCATAAAATTAACGCAAACTAGAGGTCGTAACCCAACCCCTATTTCGTGGCAATAAAAATCCCGAGTCATATTATTTCGGGAATCCAAAGATAAATAGGCTCATCTAGATTAATATCTACTGGTAGTCGAAAAATCTTTGTAATCGGTCCGGTAGATCTCTAGATTTACATAAATTAAAATTAGGAAGGTAATAAGATTGCTCAAGTAATGGTCGCCAATGAATAATTTATGGATGTTTGTGATACTTTCTCTCCTACGCCATGATCAAACAATTCGTGCGGGAAACGGTTTTTATCTCCAGTCAACGATGAAAGCTCGAGTGAAGATATTTTTTTACGTTCAGAAAATAATAACGAAGGTTGAAACCGGAGGGTACACTTTTTTTACTGCTAGGAAAATGTACTCTTTTAAAACTCCTGATAACGGCTGTGTTCAAGCGTATCGGGACCAAGACAAGGTATTTTCTCCCGCTCCAACTATCCGTCATCCCTTCAAAGCTTTTTCTATCGGATGTTTTGTCCTTCGGCGGAACAACGCTTTGTCTCCCCTGTTTTTCCAACCACCGAGAAATGTTATCATAGAAAATACTCCTTCGTCCTCTTGTATTGTTTTAATTGATTTTATGTGTTTCTTCTTTCCAGGGTGACCTGACACAGCAAGAAAAAAGAGCAATTTTTCTAACAGTCCATGATCTAGGCTCAAACCGTAAGTCTCTCTCTTGTTCATTTACTTGTAGACGGTGAAACTACCAAACCACGTATCTCGGTTTGCGACGTCGCAGACTTCCTGTCATACTTTATTTTTAAATGAAAAACTACTTAACGTCCAATCTTGAAAATTTCTGTGATTTTTCCTCTTTGTGCGGAGAATATTCGGTGAAAATTTCAAGGAATGATATTGATTTGGTCTACTTCAAAAAAATAAAATGTGAGCGTAGATTTTTAAACACCGCAAACGAGATACGTGGTTTGGTAGTTTCACCGTCGTTGTACCTTCCAGCTAATTTTACCTATTAATCTATTTGATCAAAACGATCGACTGTAATCACAGTATTTCTACCTCATGGAAATTAAGGTTATCCGCCCCGCTGGTTTTTTCCTTGTAAGAATTATCAAAAATTAACGGACCACATACACTGGAAAAAAACACATTGGATTTAGAGTCCAGACTCTTGAAAACATTGACGAGAAAAAATACTCTTCATTCAATCGGATTTTTGCTTGAATCAAAAACGAAATCCGCTTAAACTAAGAGGCTTGGTTCTTGATTTAAGCTAGATTCTGATTGAATCAAGGGTACTTTTTCTTGTCGATGTTTTTAAGAGTCTGGNTAAAATTAGGAAGGTAATAAGATTGCTCAAGTAATGGTCGCTAATGAATAATTTATGAATGTTTGTAATACTTTCTTTCCTACGCCATGATCAAACAATTCGTGCGGGAAACGGTTTTTATCTCCAGTCAACGATGAAAGCTTGAGTAAAGATATTTTTTTACTTTCAGAAAATAATAATGAAGGTTGAAACCGGAGGGTACACTTTTTTTACGGCTAGGAAAATGTACTCTTTTAAAACTCCTGATAACGGCTGTGTTCAAGCGTATCGAGACCAAGACAAGGTATTTTTCCCCGCTCAAACTATCCGTCATCCCTTCAAAGCTTTTTCTATCGGATGTTCTGTCCCTCGGCGGAACAACGCTTTGTCTCCTCTGTTTTTCCAACCACCGAGAAATGTTATCATAGAAAATACTCCGTCGTCCTCTTGTATTGTTTTAATTGATTTTATGTGTTTGTTCTTTCCAGGGTGACCTGACACAGCAAGAAAAAAGAGCAATTTTTCTAACAGTCCATGATCTAGGCTCAAACCGTAAGTTTCTCTCCTGTTCATTTACTTTTACCTTCCAGCTAATTTTACCTATTAATCTATTTGATGAAAACGATCGACTGTAATCACAGTATTTCTACCTTATGGAAATTAAGGCTATCCGCCCCGCTGGTTTTTTCCTTGTAAGAATTATCAAAAATTAACGGACCACATACACTGGAAAAAAACACATTGGATTTAGAGTCCAGACTCTTGAAAACATTGACGAGAAAAAATACTCTCGATTCAATCTGATTTTTGTTTGAATCAAAAACGAAATCCGCTTAAACTAAGAGGCTTGGTTCTTGATTTAAGCTAGATTCTGATTGAATCAAGGGTACTTTTTCTTGTCGATGTTTTTAAGAGTCTGGACTCTAGATCAATGTGTTGTTTTTTCAGTGTATCCGTGACTGGAGTCGAATGATACTTACCTCGCAGACAACGTTTTAACATTTTCCATCATGATTTCGTAATGTTTTTTTATTATTATTATTTTTTTAAAGAAAAAAAACAAAACAAAATAATCAAAATATCTTATGGGCATTTTCTGCGCAAAATTTTGAAAGAAAGAAAGACGAAAATTCACAATAAATTTTTTAAAAAAAACTATGCTTAATTTAAAAAATAAGTAAATTATAAAAAATTGGATATTTGCAACATTGCAGTCGGATACACATATATTTCGGCTTTAGTCATCCGTACTCCCTTTTCTATGCTAATTCTCTTCCCCTACTTTGGTCCAAGACAAGCCTAATATTAAAAAAAATACGACCAGAATTCTTCATATACCGTAGAGAGGATAAAACATTAAAAATATTTTCCAATATAATATTCCTAATTTTAATTGCTCCTAAACTTAACTAATAATATTTGATTGACTTTCAATATCAATCAAAAAAAAATTTAGACAGGAGAGTTAAAATTTGAGGTAATAAGCACTGCTTAAAGTAAAATTTGAAAAATCATACATCTTTAATCGTGTAAACGTTGTGCGAGTCTTGAATTTTCGTGCTACTCAATTTTCACCCTTCTCCCTCCTGAGCTTTTCCGAAAGCAGGCCGCCGACGTAGGCGATTTTCCGGACGGAACCGATTTAAGTCCGACAAACTTGATTAATGAACAAACCAGCTCCGCCCTCGAATATTAATGACAGTTTACGTCATACGGCACGATATCAGCAGAAGCCCGTTAAACGTAAATATTGTTCGTTACAATTAAAATGGGGATTACGGACTATTTATCAAGTATCAGAAATAAAGGGCGTTGTCTAACCTTCCAGTCGTTGGAGTCGAAGGGGAGAAAAGTAGCTATGAGCCCCGCGTTTCGCGCGTTTCTTCAAAAAACTGGCCCAAAGCTCATGCTCATTTTACTATACCTTACAGTTTCAGAAACTGTGTAGATAAAAAACACTGTTGTATCTATTAGTCGCGAAAATATCGCAGATTTTTTAGATATAACTCTTCCCCAGGTAACTTAATCTCAGTCTCAAATGATTGAGAGGCATGTAAAAACGGCGAAAAATTAAAATATTGGAGCACATACATATTTTTTGGAAAGTAATTTTAAAGACAGTGTGAATCGAATATAACGACCTTGAAGGGACCGGCCTTCTCCGGTCGTTTTAACCGATAGTTATTTTAACAGATAGTAGGATTTTTACGCACTCACCTCAAATTGAACAGCAAAGAGTAAAGCTGTGTTGGCGCTAGGGTATGAAGATGAGGTTTTCTTATTTGCAGGAAAATAAATACCACTAGTTTTAGCACTATATATTCATTTTCTTTTTTATTTTATTTGTGTGTGCACTGGTGTATGTCACACGCGGTGTACACTGTTCAGACATTGTCCACAACGTGGATGGTAGGTCTAACACTGATAAATTACGATCATTCAACGATAAAGTGCGGACCTTGGTGTAGGCGCAATACGTAAAGTAAGCATACAGACTTGTAGGTGCTAATATGCATTTCAGGCCGACTGCACTGTGTCTGGCGCAATGCGTGGAGTATTCCTATAGCCTTGTAGGCGCTAATATGCGTTTCAAGCCGACCGAGCCGACCGTACTGTGTTTGGCGCAATGCGTGAAGTATTCCCTCAGTCTCGTAGGCGCTAATATCCGTTAGCGCCTACCGCATCGCATGTGTTTGGCTTTATTATTCAAGCGGGCGGAGTTGAGCATTACTCGGCCTGCTCGATGGTTTGCACTGATGCACTAAGGCCAAAGTCCTATCACAAGAAAAAAAAATTAAAAAAAAAAAAAAATAAAAAATACTTTTTACTAAACTGGAGTTTTTGCGCACACTGAATGGATCATTGCTATTTAAAACGTGCCACATAAAATCCAACTAATTTTCTTCTCTAGATTTACATATGTATTGGTAGTCTTAAATAGATATTAAAAGTGCGTTACCTCGCCGGGCGATGCTCCGGTCGTTGTTACCGAAAGTCTAGCCCAACATTTCGAGGAAAGTCCGTCGTTAGGGCCGATATGTCGCAATATACGACGTCGTTATAAACAATCCGTAAATATTCAAACAATTTTGGAGTAGCACCATTAATCAGAATTAAAAAATTAAATTTAAAATCTGGACACTGTACAGACCCCCGGTCTATTACAGACGGGTCTACTTTTTAATCCGTAAATACATTGGTTAAATGGGAGTTTAACCGGGACCGATCAAATTTCGTCGTTATGCCCGATAGGTCGTTATATCAGTTGCCATTACATTCAATATCCACTGTAATTCGTTGAAAACTGAATACTTTAATAATTTACCTAAAAAAACCTTTAGACTTTTTAATCCGATTGATAAATGTGGGTGGGCATTTAAGGATTCTTTTTTGGTTCTTTGCTTTGGATTTTGCACTTCGAGCACTGTTTCTTTTAAGCCGATTATTATGAATGCTTTTTGCTCCAAGTGAACTCAGTCACGCATTCAGGATTATCTAGCTCATTCCATTAGCTCTTTGAATTAAGGAGCTTATGCGTTGCTCAGTCCTCAATGGATTATTCAAAATTATACTGCAGCGGATGCCATCTCGTTTTAATCTGCAAATCCTCACGACTATGAGCAATATCGACTTGTTAGGCCCTCCGATGACGAGAATATAAACACAGTCAAAATCGAAAGAGCTTAATAATCCCATATTAATTAATTTAAGAGACTTTCAAAACATTAGTAGCTATGATGATTATTTGAACATATTTACGCCAAAAGGAACTATGTTCCACGCAAACCCTATGCACATAGTTCCTTTTAGCATAAATACATCCATTTGTGCATTATGTGTGATCAAAGTCCTAGAGGGTCTGAAAATTGGATCAAAAGTATTTTTACGGACGGCACACAGTGGCTCGAATCAATTGGAGAGGTCGCACAATAAATTTTCGACTAAAACCGCAAATTTTGACGTTTATTTCGTCACATTTTAAAGTTTAAAGGGTGCTTGCTTATAGAGGAAAATTTCACGAGGAAACCAATGGATCACTTTGAGAACCTCAAAGTTTTGTATAAACGGAGTTATAAGCTTTTATAGTTTCCAAATTTTGTCCGACCTCACCTATTGACTCGTTCCACTGTGCGGCATTGAAGATTCCTTTTCACCGGAAGACACGAAGAGAAAGATGACGAAAAAAAGAGAAAAAAAAACCTTTTAAGTCAATTTCCATTCCATTTAAAATGCAAACAAATGAACTGTCTCTATAGACTCTCAGTATCCGATGGAACATTAGGAATTGGCTCGTTGCTTTTTATTTCTGATGTACTTAACTTATTCGATTCCTGTTTCATGATAAAATGGAGAGGAGTAAAAAAATCACAATTTATTCGGGCATTCTCTAAAAAAG